ACCCCCCTAACAATGTGCTCTTGTGAGTGTGTGTGACCCTGTACAGCAAAGGCACTTGGAAAATTCCAACGTTGTTATACATAAAAAAAATAAAATAAAATAAATAAAAATAAAACAACATTGGCAGATATTGAAAAGGATCGAAAGGTATTCCTATAAGTAGGATTTCTAAAGGTACTTATGACATAATATGGAATATTGTATTATATAACACTTAGAGAATCTGATTTTTAGGACAATATCAAAAAGATGTAACCTGCAGCAGATAATGTAACCTTTAGAGAATGTAACCTTTAGCGAATTCATGGCATTTATGTTGCACAGTGTAACCCTATAAGTATGTATCTGCATCCTGTGTTAGCCCTGCGACACATCGCTATGTTGTAAGCCATAAAATGTAAGTAATGTGTAACCTAACTTGTAGCCATGTAAGGAAGCTTCCAAGGCCTGCTGCCGTAGTGTCTGAGAGAAAGGCATACGTTCCGAGCTTACTGTCATTAGGCCTATTTTAGGGGGGCCTTAGGTATATATATATATATATATATATTGGCTTAAGTTATGAATAGCTTTTTCTATTATATATATGTTTTCCATCATGCCGAGACCATCTCTACAAGATATGGTATATATAATATATATATGGATATCTTATAGAGATGGTCTAGCCACAATTATACTCATCGGAACGACCAAGCAACTGGTCGAGGAAGAGATGATACTTAAGACTCTGAAGATCTGCACAAGCGGTCCCTGAATCCTGATTGGCTGAGAAGGAAAACCACTTGATCATGAATGACAGTACAAGAGGCATTGTGGTCATGGTCAGGTAAACCAAATTCTGGAGCCAGGGTAGTGAGAGAGAGCAGATGTGCCAATGCAACATATCATTCCTACATATGGATCTGTTGTGTACACACCGTGGAATGATCTAGATGTGAGGTACAGTAGATCTGTGAGATCTTGCACAGATGGGCCTTTGCAAAAGGAAAATGAAAAAAGAACAGCAAAACATTTTGTATAAAAAAAAACAAAAAAAAAAAAAAAAAATCAAAAATAGGACACAACACAATGCAGATACTAGCTCTGGCATAGTAAAAATATGTGATCAGATTCATCCAAGTATGTGCAAAGCCTGAACCATTGAAATGGTTAAGAGGGTACACCATATAGATCTTGGAATTTTTTGGTCGTACAGCCCATTAGCCAGGGATGATTCTCTAATGAGATGTAAAACAGCAGTGTCTTTACAGCCGCTATTCTGTGTGGGAGGTCCAAGGTCGTTCTGTCTCACAAGTTGGGCTGGGGAAGTTTATCTCACAAGAAGAGCTAATAAACAGGGGCATTAAAGGAGAGAGACGAGCAGGGAAACCCAGCAACTACAAGTCACACTCGTAACAGGTTCTTAGCTAAAGATACTTAAGGAAAGTATCCTTGTGTTATAGAAGCATCACAGAAAAATATGTGGCATAATTTCTGCGCCATACTGTTTGGAGTTTGCATTTTTGACCATCTCTATATCTCACAGATTAAAGCAGCTCACTGTAAATATTTTTATAACGTAAAAAATCAAATGCTCATGAATTTGTAACATTGATGTTTTTTGTTGTTGTTGTTGTTGCATTTGCAGCGACATAGAAGCCACTCAATTTCAGCTTGTTTGAAAAGATATTGCTTAAGCAACATAGGGCACAGTTTCATATAGGAATTCAGAAAGGATTCCCCATGTCCTCTACAGTATTCACACGTCTAAATAATTGCCTAATTTTGATATATAGAACTTTAAAATGCTGAAAGGATAGGGTATATAAGGAGAACCATAGTGCCCACCTACCTGAGGCCTGCGGAGCTCTATACCTGTCAATTTATTACTGTAGTCGTTCAAAATTTACAGAGACAAATAAAATTATAATAGAAAAGGCACCTGCACACTTACACCACAAAGATCACTTTGTCTGTCAGAATCAAAATCAGGTTAATTAGCCAAGTATGTTCACACTCAGAGGGAATTTGTTCTCTGGTTGTCAATGGCTGTCATACTATGGGAGGTGTTTTCTGCAAGAAATAAGTCGAAAATGATTTTTGCGCATAGACTTGCAAAACTAAATTGCAAAGTGGAGATTGTATTTTCATTTTATCATTTTCATACATAATCATACATATAGTAGGTATATTGTTAGGTCCAGACAATGATGGCATGCAGTCTGATTGCATGTGTGGTTGATAAATGTACAGAGTGCATGTCAGTGCACAGAATGTTGGAATAAATACAGTAAAATGGAAGGTTTGGGGAAAAAAATAATTTGGATATATTAGAGGCAAGTAAGGGCTTCATTAGAGCTGTTTTATAACTATTAGGAACACATTTATAACATAACGATGTATTTATAGCGATCTGTCAAGGGTTTTCCAGTTACAGAATGAAAGGCCCTCATTTTTTAGTTTTGGGTTTTAGTAAGTGGATGATTTAGAAATAATTATTAGTCTAGTCTGTTCATTTGGTGTAACAATGGAAGATAACTAAGTATGCCAAGTATATGTAGTAACAGTAGGAGTTGTTACAAATCTGCCAAATTACAACTCCAAGATTTTGCATGAAAATCATCTCTACTATATAACATGTAGATATGGGGGAGTTATTAGCTCATTTATTAATGAAGGGAAAGGCTTCGAATCAACAGTAGTATTGGCATAGTCATAGCAGAATGCTTACTTACCCAAAGAGTTTCTTTAAATTGTTGAGGAAAAAAACATTGTATATTTCTGAAAAGAAATTTCAGCTTAGTTTGTTGTAATATTCTAAAACCTTACTTTATCGCCTGTAAATGAACATTATGCCACAGATACATTTTTTAAGCATGCAACTTGGTTTTTTGTGCATGCAATCCAGGCCCATAATATTCTGCCTCTGTCGTTAAATATGTATTATTTATAGATTAAACATCCACTGTTTATTTTGATGTAAGCCCAAGAAACAGGCCAGTCTAGACTGCTTTCAAATATAGCTTTCAATATTTTGCACAGTTTTATGGTTTAATGAACAACTAGACCATTACATACAGTATTTCAGTTGTCCACATTTGCACGTTTCTAAAACTTATCTGTCATATTCACCATAGTCTCTGTCATTGTTTTTGTCTCTTTTGTCGTTTCTCAGTTTTTGTGGAATAAACCCGCAGCATGTGAATTTCTGCAGTTCTCTTCTACGACATTGCTGCTGCCTTCTGACTGTATTTGAACGTTTTTTTAATTGGCAGTGGTAACAAGTGCAATTTTCTACTTTGCTATAAGCAGCGCGGCTCGTCTGATTGGCCAGTCAGTTTTTGCCCCTCTACAAGAAGTACAGTGACCTCAGATTTTTCCAGATAATGCTGATGTCATTCTCTGTTTTTTTTTTTTTTTTCCCTCTTTTTTTGGTTTGGGTTCTTTCAGCTGCGGCAGAGCGTATAGTGGCAGGGCTTAAGGATGTCTGCTTGTTTTATTAAAATTTAAATGCGCCTCTTTTGGCTCCTCTATCAGCTCGCTCCTCGTCTGTCACTTGATGTAGCAGATGATGAAACTCTTATGAAAGAGACAGACATCATCTCTCCTGTTGTTTGACCTTTTGTCCCTCCGACGGTTTCTGGTGCTCAGTCGCTCTAAAAATCATGAAAACAGTGCCTCTGTTTGTGCCGGCTCTCCAAGCATATGGAAAAGAAAAGTCTATTTTTATATCTGCTTTTATTAGGAAGCGTAACATGACGTCATGTAAGGCCAGCCGATTGCGGGTTTTAAAACACGAAAGGTGGGACCCGTATTGTGGGAAGTGAAAATGTGCACTTTTAACCAGGATATAAAGTGTTGTCAAATGGCTTAACGTAAGAAAATGTATTTTCTTATTTTGGGTGTTTTACAATTTGCAGTAGTAGGTGTATATTTTTACAGTCATTAATATTTAATGTATTAGAGGAAATAGAGAGGTAGTCTGGAAGCAAAGGGCACGAGGACGGAGAACATTGAGGTAGTGATTGCTCTCCATCACAGGACGTGCACACGGATGATCACACACTGCGGGCTGTTCGGCTGAAAGCGCTAGTGGTTGGTGTATGTAGGTGTTAGTCTTACCATGAGACTGACGGATTTTAGCCCATTTTGCCATCCTCACGGTCACAAGATGTAAATGGTAAATGTTTGTTGTGCGGCAGATTTTTATCGTGGTGGAATCCCCCCCCCCGCCATTTTTGATGGCTCACTGTTTCACCACATTTTACAGGTTTTTCATCACTCAGCTCTGCGTTTGTTTTCTGCAGTTGGGTTGAAATGCGTGTATGAATAAATGCGCTGATTTTTAAAAACCATCGGTTGGGGTAAAAGTCATCTGAAGAAAATATCCCATTTATAATCGCCCACCGTTAACATTATCACACCTACAGAAATAGACACATCCAATCGGGGACGCTTTGGATTCTGGTACATATGCTTTCACAAGACAAATCGAAAACAAAACAAATGACAGGTAAAAGGAAATAAATTTTTCATTACCTGTATATTAGCTAGGTTACCACCAGCAAGGACGTAATGATAGGGTTGGAAAAATACAAAATACATCCTGATTGGTGTAGAGAGATAAGCGTTTCTTTGAAAACATTTATCTTCTGCGTTGTCACTGGCAGTCAGTGGTTAAAACCTTTGTGTAGGAAAACATTTTGAAAACAGAGGGCTAGATTCTGGCCTTGTGATGAAGGACATGGACTCTGTCCAAGTCTCTGCAAGGTCCTGCTGTGATACTCTTGAATAAAACAATAATTCAGTCAGGGACCTGTTGAATTAAATCACTTTCAGAATTTGCAAAAAGTTGGCATTGTCTAACTTTTGGAATGTGAAATATGTTTTGATTTTCATGCAGCATATATTTAACTATAAATAAAAATTCTTACAGAATATTACAGAATAAATAAGTCTTGGTTACCATCAGTGTAATGATGTAAGAGACCAGTAACACCTACATTCTTTAACTCTTTCAGTTTTCGAAGAAAGTTATCAAGGGCTGATCACAGAGGCTACGATCAATTTGAATAAATTCTGTTTGAGGTAAGTGCTTTCATTATTTCTTAAGTGTAATTCAAATTGTGTTTTTGTGAATTTGGCAGAATGACCTTTTTGCTGACTCTCAACCCCTCAGGCATTGCCCTTAATAGATGTGTTCCTCCTAACACATGTAAAGGGTGGTATACTATAGCTGAATGTTTGCACGTATGTTTCTGTGCACAAAAAAGGAGGTGTCTCTACTGCAGTTTGGTACAAAAAATCATCAGCATCATTTCTTAGGCTGTACATCTTCTGTCTGAGTGAGGATGATTTAGAGAGCACACCAACAGAGGCCAAATTTGTAGGAATGTAAATGATTGTATCATTCTTCATTGGATATTGCAAGACTCCTGCATCAATATTAAAATGTTTTTAGCGTAGTTCTGTATAGCTCTGAGTTAAATAGGCTTGTCTGAAAAATATGTTATCCCATTCAAAGTATAAAAGTTTATCAAGCATTTGTTTTTCCTGTCAGAGTCTGGGTTGAGGGTTGAAGATGGATGGATGGATGGATGGATGGATGATGGATTTTAACTACAATTTTTCACGTCTGATTTTTCAGTAGCAAAGGTCATATTTTCACCCAGTTGACAGTTATGTCAGAATTCCTGAAGTAGGGAAGGACAGGATCCAGAACGAACATTTACCATCTATTAATACTGGTAAATATTTCTAGAACAAATAGTTCCGGCTTGTAGGGAATGGGAAATTTCATAAGAATGAGATGCACTGAAGAAATGATATATTTTGTTTTCGATGTAGGATAGGTTCATGAGAGTCTAAATTTGGAATTTTGAGCAGGTCCGACTATACAAAGCCTGATGATGCATAGGCATTATGATAAGGCTAGACTCAAGTTACAGTCTGTAAGCAGTTTTGTAAAAGTGAGATGTGGTGGAGAAATGGTAGATTTTGCTTACAGTTCATTTTAATACTGCTTTATAATGGTAATGGTAATAATGGCTGAATTTCATTGAAATGATGTTAAAGAAATCATTGTTACTATTATTAAACCATGTGGTTGTTCAGGAGCTGAAAGTCAAATTTGCATAGATTTATATATATTTTTAATAGTGTCCATGAATTTACATTAATAGGTGGTGTCAGTGACTTTGATTAGCTGATATATATATAGCCTTTCCAAATGGTTTCACTTTGGAACTGTTTGACAAGCTCCTGAATTTGTGTGGAGTTTTGAAAATTTTAGCATTACAAAATATGCTGGACTGCTAGATTGTTTCCCTAAGAGGGCTACATGCAAAAAAAACGTGCACTTAGAAAGAGAAGGCTGCTTTATTTTCAAAAAAGAAGGAAATTGGTTTGACAATTATGTCCCAAATGGTAGAAGAGAACGAAGAATAAAAATTGCTAACAACTTGACTGGAGGCCATGCAGCAAAAGAATACATTAACAATTAAATTACAGTACAAATAAACCAATTTCATTTTTTTCCCAAGGTTTAACAGTGTATGATTTGATTTGTACTGATCAAGTTACTAGTTACTACTAATTACAAATATGTAACTTTGTGTCTTTTAATATTTGTTTCAAGTTTTATTAATATGAAAACTACCAATGATTTTTACATAGTCATCTACTCACTCTCAGCCAATGGAAGGTCCACAGAGGGTTTTCATTCCTGAATTAAATTAAGAAATGAATAAACCAAGAAGAAACTTAATAACACTTAATAAATAAACTTACTTATAATGCAGTAGGTTGTGAGGCTTCAAACATATAATGTAAACGTACAATTTTTCGGGCAAAACAGAAAATACAGCTAAATAAATAAAATAAAGTTATTACTTAATTTTTTTGTTTAGTTATTGTTATTTAGATTTGAAAAGATTAATACAGCTTTTCAGTTTGAGGGAAAACATGGCTGTGTCATAGCAGGGAACTGAACGCTATAACGTCAGAATGTATACAGGCAGTTCTCAGTCGATATAAGTAACCCATCCCACAAACGCTGGAGTTTACATTCCCATTGAATTTGCGTTGCCTTATAGCAAAAAACATATAAGCCAAACATATACTACTAGTACATACTAGAGAACACATATACAGACGTATACCACCTTTTTGTGTTAGCGCTTCTGTAAACACTACGTATCAGAGATTTTTGCGTCTTACAATAAGTTGTTTTTTTGCATAAATTGAGAGCTGTATTTATGTGCAGTTTTAGTCGACATTATTGGCACGTCTGAACTTTTTGAATGTCCTGCAATATCATCACAAATAATTGGGAAATGTACTGATTTTGCTTCATCAGTGTATTTACTATATCCAAAACTTATTCAACAAAAAGATACATTTTCAATATAAATGTAGTGAATTAACAGGAATAAATAATAGAAATAAACAGAATATTATCTGGACAGCATTAAAGACATCCTTCCCTAATATTTTGTCGCAGAACCCTTAGCAACAAGGACAGAACCCTTAGCAACAAGGACCACCTAGAATTGTTTCGTGTAGCAGTCTGTAAGCTTCCTGCACTTGTCCCCTAGTACTTTCCACTACTCTTCAGTTGCAGTTAGTTTCAGTTGATTGAATGCTTGCAAGGTTCTTTTTTCACAATGATATATTTTAGTTCATTCCAAAGATTTTCAATCAGATTGAGATCAGGACTCACTGGTCATTTTCTTTCTCTTGGATGTGCTTTGGATCATCATGCTGCTGGAGCAATCGTGATGTTTGACCCAAACCTGTTTTCTGACACTGGGAGGCAGATTTCCTCTTAAATGCCTCAGTAATCCTCTGATTTCACGATTCATTTAATACATTCGTCAGCTTAATTTTGTCAGCCTTAAACCAAAAGCTGCTCTGCATTGCTAAAGATCTCTACTTCATCTGTCCATAGATAATTTCCCTGAGTATTGTGATTTCTCTAGGTAAGTTTTAGAAAATAGCAGTTTTGCCTTTTAATGTTTCTTTTCCAGTAGTGCTGTCCACCTTGGCCTTCTTGGTTTAGTGTGATATGGGTTGAACCCATTCCTCCAGATTGCACCAGGTCACCCTTAAGCCTTGTGTGTGTTTTACCAAACTTTGAAGGCTTCTCTGATCAATTTTGTTCTTCCTACTATGTCCCGGGAGGTTCTTGATAGTTCTATGAGCAGCAAACTAATTAATAACATTGGGAACTGTTGAAACAGGGATACCAAGGTCTTTGGAAATGGCCTTGTACCCTTTAGAATTTTTATGCTTGGTGATAATAGCATTTCTTATCATTGTGAAAAAGGAACTGGGTCTAAAATTGGTCCTTTTAAGCATTAAAGCCATCATTCATTGGGTAATTCGAGTCATGTGAGGACCCAAAATTTATCACAGGTGAGTCTAATTTAACTGCAATGCCAATCTGGTTTTTTTTTTTCCCCCAGACTGATTTGAATTCTTGAAAAGGGTACCAATAAATGTGGCAAGGTAATATTTCAGTTTTTGTACATTTTCCACACATTCTTTTTTAGATTTTGATTATTTTATACTGTGCTTTTTTTGTATCAGCCGTTCTGTAACATGACTATTTAGACACAAGCTCTTTCGCTATACATCTTTTTCCAGGAGATATTGTGCTTGATGTATATAAAATTCAGAGGTGCCAATTAACGATCGTCAGCTGCACCTGTGTCATGCGGCCTTAGTGAGGTTGTTCCTCTGAAGAACCACAAAGCACCACATGGTCTTGCACCGCTTCACCTCACTGGCCTCCTGACCCCTATCTCTCCCCTCATTCTCTCCGGTCATCTAGCTGTAATCTGCTCCTTGTCCCTCGCGTCAGGCTTCTCACTTTGGGTGGTAGGTGATTCAGTGCCACTGCCCCCAAACTCTGGAATCCTCTTCCTCAGTCTCTCCATGACTGTTCTTCACTTTCCACTTTTAAATCTGACTTAACTTTGCTGTTTAATGAACATTTCTCTTCCTGTTCTACTTAGTTGTGTGTGTTTTTCCTCCTTGTAAAGTGACCTTGGGTTTGCAAATGGTGCTGTATAAATGTAGCTTATTATTATCAATATTATTATTATTATTATTATTATTATTATTATTTTATTAACTACAAATTGAAGCCCTCCAAGGCAGGCACATGCTGACAGTGTGTTGACCCAGGCTCACTCCCTCTTCTGCCCTTCATTAGTGAGCTCAGAATCCGCCCCCATTTTCCATTCATCTCTGTCCATGAATCGTGAAATTATCATGTGGTAAACTGCGCTTGAATTTGAATGGAAGTAGCCCTCTCTGGTCAGGTAGAGGTTTAACTAAATTGGATGAATGAAAACTGGATGCATCCCCAGACTGAACATTTCCCAAAGGATGTGTATGAGAGATTGTAATCTGTGTAGTGAATTTAAAAGCTATGAAAGATTCCCGGATCTTTCACGAGTAGGTTTTTTAAAACTATTCTTCTCTTTTCTTTTTTCATGTGGACAATTTTGAACCTGTAACAGATGGAGTGAACAAATGGTTATTTCATATGGGACCCCTTACACAAGAATGCATGAAACTGCATCAGAGCTCGGCCCAAATTCTGCCACACAATAGGGTTTGAATAATACCACTATGGTATAGGAGGAGAGAGAGAAACCAAGGTTGGCAGGAAAGATGATAAACATGACAGGGTCTGCAAAAGGCATCAGATTTAGCCTGGACCCACAATGCACAGCTCTTTATGTTAGCCAGCCAGGAATAAAAACCAAAATTTTAGGCAACACAACACTTCCATTAGAATTTGAAACATTTGTTTATTAAATCCTTTGGTCTTACCATTCCATAAATCACTTGGTACAGTATACATTTATGTTGGCAGGAATATTCTGAAAGAAATTTAGAAGTTACTATGGTCATTTTCATATCTTTGCAAACAGTTCAGTGATAAGGAATGCAACCTTTGGAAATAGTTTTATTTGAATAATTTCCTGGAATAATGAAAATGAATGGGACTGAGGGCGCTCAGCTATTTAAAAACGGGTTCAGAAGATAGAAGATTAAATTGTGCAAGGACGTGTTTAACAGATACATTCACATTTTTGCTAATTCTATATGCATGCACCGAATTGCTTCAAAAATGTTTATTTTAGGCAACCTGGGTAATAGGGACAGTAATATACAGCAATGGCAGCAATTATTTACAAAAAATATTACTCTGTGCGCATAGCATCCTTATATAATTCCTTGAAACAAAATCAATTTCCTGAAAAAGAGACAATAGAGATTCATGAGCTTTGTCAATCTCTTACCATTGATGCCTACACAGAAGTGTACAAAGATGTATCCATGAAATAGATTGCCAAAAACAGGTTTCTGCAGCAATGAAAATAAGCACAGCTGTGTGGTTAAATGCTTTTCAGCTTTTTAGCATCTAACAAAAACAGCGGTCATATGATTTCATACTTTGAAGACATATGAAGCTCCATTTTACTGTAAAAAGCATGTCACCATTTTAAAACTCATTTTTGTGCTTCTGCTGTAATGTTAGAATAAGTTGAAATCTTGCCTTTGTCATAGCAACAAATTTTGGTATCTGTGTTTTATGAAGTAAATGGGTGTTTATCCGTAGACTTCAGCAAAGGTATGGAGGGCTAAAGCACAGGGCAAGGACCCATTTTTGAGGATTCCTTATTTTTTTTTCAAACTGAAGATGTATCTTGACAGAATTTTAAATGTTTTCTTTCTGATTGCCACAGAGGCCTTGGTATCAGGGGGAAAAAAACTGATTTAATTATTTCTTATTGAAAAGAGGAGTAGTGCTAGACAGCAAAGAATACATTTGTAGTGTATCAAAATATTTATATTGATTTTCAGGGATTGTGAGTTTGTGATGAAACAAAAACATTATTGTCTGTAGGCATTGCTCTTAAAAGCTTTTTCTGTTTAAAGACATAATACCCTGTGAGAATACTGTCAAAGACGCCTTTAATTAAAGAAATAAAAAGGAATGTGCACTTGTTCTTTGATTGCATGTGGAGCAGCACTCTTTGTTACACTACAGTATATATATATACATACATATATATACATACAAAAACACACACACAAACATAGTGGGTACTGAAAACATAAACTAATGTCTTTGTTGTCATTTGAAGGAAAATGATTACCGACTTCTCTATGTCATGAGCAGAGTTGGGTAATTCAGGTCCAGAGAGTAAAAGTCCAGACCGAGATTTTGTTTCAACCACCCAGTTGAGCATAAAGAGTCACAGTCACAGAGTACTCAACTGGTTGGTTGAAACAAAACTCTCTGGACCTGAATTACTCAACTCTGGTCATGAGTGTGTAATTTGCTTTTTGTCAGAGAGCATATTCATCTGAGCAGGATACTGCATTGCAAAATATGGTTTCCTCTGAAGCAATTTAGTTTTGACCTGTTTGAACCTAGTGCACCTTGAGTTGATGCTCATGCTGTAATCCAGCTTGGTGAGCTGCTTTGTAAGTTCTCGATCTTACAGTAAGGCTTGTGCAATACTCAATGGCAGTGGTGAGTACCTATGGACAGTGGTTGCTTCATTGACATTTCACATTGATGAGTCTTGGCCACCCAACGCTCTGTTGGCGGTTAATGTTTTTTCCCTCCTCAGACCACTCTCAGAAGGTATTCACCACTCAACTGGTTCCATACCCTGGAAATAATGGAATTGGAAAGTTGGTCATAAGCTTCACTGGATCAGGTCCTAGAAGCTCTTCAGAAGTCCACGTTTTTGACCGATGTGATCATGATTTGTCTTGCAGTTGCTTAGCTAGTTTGTTTGGGTGCATGTTCTCTATGAGCTAACAGTCCCCTTTGCCTGTCAACAATGCACCGGTCCTGTAAATTTGCTCTTTATCACTTTGTTGACAAGGAATGTTGAAATCTGAGCATGTGTTTTTTCTAGTGTAGTATTCAACAGGATTATAAGTGAACTTTGAGCTTTGCCACAAGGCTGAGTACAGCTCATTTTTTCAAGACCCGGTGGCTTGTTACTAGCAGTTACTTGCCATCTGCTAGTTTCTTGGAAACTTTTTCTGATTTGTGATTTTGTGGCAATATATACAAATAAGTTTAAATATGAATTAACAATGGTAAGAGAAGTGGTAAAATGTATATATAATGTAATATTTATATAATGTGCATATATATAATATCTGTAGGTATGTATTATTATGTTCATAGCTACCAAATGATACTTGCTCATGTATGGGATCGTCTTCATACATGTGATTTGTTTCGGTTTTGGATACATACAGGGTTGGCAACTTTGCTCAGCTGGCTGGAATAAGATTTTCAATCCGAGACACGTCTGCACACACATTTACACGCATGCAACTTTTTTTTTTTTATTTATTTTTTTTTAACCTTGTAGATAGTCTGATGGGTTTGTTAATTACAGATATACAACGCGATTTGAAATGTTCAAATGCCATGGTTTTTATGACAGTAAACTTAATGGCTTACAAAAAGCACTACTTTCATGCTAAGCAAATGTTGTGCACCAACATGTATTGAAAACATGCATTGTGATCAGAGTTGGCATTTTGCTGTTTCGTTGTGTCTGATATTTATAGCCCTAACCACCTAAATTCCTTCCGTGGGATTTGGACATCCCCAAGTTTGTTGTAACAATGAGATGCTTGCTCGCATGTCTCATGCAGTCTGCCAGTTAACTGTATATTAGCACGGAAGAACAGTAACTAGCATAATCAGACAATGACAACATAAGCAGCAGTGCAGTCAATAAATAGCATCAATGGTAGTGGTGAATAACACAAAACCATGCAAAATTCTATCCCAAAAACAAACAGCAAGTAGAATGGTGGTAATGAATAGAAGGTGCAAATGACCAGCAGTTTAATCTGCAGCACCCTTATTATCAGACATTGAGTAGCCTGATAGCCTGTGGGTATATACAGATACTGAACCGTGGGCTATGTGATCTACCTGAAGCGGAAGTGAAGTGGTTATGCAGGGTGATTGGAGTCCCTGATGATTCCTGTCTGTCTGAGGCAAGCTGTGGTAAAAATGCCCTGAAGTGTGAAGGCACATGTGTGCTAGTGATGGGCTGGGCTGTCTGCAGGACGCTCTGCAGGACGCTCTGCACGACGCTCTGCAGCACACTGCAGTGCTCCGCCAGGCACTTTCCCTCTCTTAGCGCTTAGATATTTACCAACATTGTAAGTTTGTCTCACAAAGAAATGTGTATGATAATTACATCTAAATGTCGGCCTTTTTAGCCAGATCAGTGTGAAAGCATTATAGTTCATTGAAGAGCTTACAGTGATGTAGCTGAAGCCAAGCTGATGTGGAGCCACGAGTAATGAGGACTGTAGTGGGGTGAGTCGTGGTTAAGTATGATGTGGCAGATCCCTGACATCTTTGTTATTGCAGTGAATTGTAAGAGAAGCCACTTGAAACGCACAGCACATGATTGCCGACTTCTCTCTGTCATGAGCAG